GTATTTCCTCAGCAGCCAGCACGGATCAGCTCCAGGCATGACGAAGCAGATATCGTCCTCTTTTGGAAGGCCAAACAAAGTAGTTTCGCTTTCACAATGAAACACACAGCGTCTCCACGACATGGCAGTGGCGGCAACAATACTACAGCGAGAATAAAAGTTACGCCTTCTTTCTTAGCGTGAACATTTGGGCGGCGTTATGCAAATCTTCCCACAGAGCGACGTAGGTATGTTGGGGCGTGTTAGAACGAGCCATTTTAGGTAGGTGTGGCTGACTCTTAACTTTTATAAAGAATATCTCTTTGGATTTGAGACTTTAGTCTTTGCAACTTTACAGATCTTCTTTATGCACCAAGAGCTTGTAACACTCCAAAGAGAAAGGAAAAATTGAAATCGCATCATATGACCCCTTTAATTTGTGTTCTGAAGATGATCCAAGATCTTACGGGTTTAGAACATTTTTGGGTGAACTATCCCTTTAATGCCTCTGGCCCTGAACCGCTTGTTATCAACGACAGAAAAAAAATAATGTAGTCCTGACCTCAAACGGATTTGGTATGATTTCATGAGAGATTGATTCATGCCATAGTTGAACTGAACCAATTCTGTAAAGAGAAATGGTGCAAATTTCTCCTGACTGTTGTTCAGGTCTGATCTACAATTACAGAAACCATTTGGAGGAGGCTACAGCTGCCAGAGAGTCAACCAGTTATTAAATCCATACTTTTTTAATCTCATACTGTTTACAATGTGTGTTCACTAAAGACAAAGACATTACTGTTTGTGTTTCATTTAAAAAGACTGTCTATTCCTGTCAAAGAAAGAACCAGCTTCAAAAAGTGGCCTCACCTTTACCATGTGAAGTCTCAATCATCCACGTACAGTTGAGGTTATGGGGGTAGAAGTCAGGGAACCCAGGGGACAGAACAGTGCCGCTGTTCCCCTGAATAAACCCACCACAAAGAGCTAGAGGAAAGAGAAAAAGATAAAGACTATTTGTCAAAACACTGAGCACAATCCTACTGAAAGAAATTTTACAGGAAGTGCCCTTCTGAAGGACATCAACATATGAAGGTGAATAATTCCTATCATTACTCAAGGGGACAAATCAATAATGGCCTTAAATATTCAAAGCCTTGTGGAATAGGTGAAGAGAGCGGAAAGGGTAGCTTCAAACCGTAAAGGCCCTTCCAGTCTGGGAGCGATTATGTCATTTAAATAAATGACCTATCTCTAATGTGTCCTTTTCCCAGGCGATGACCATTTTAGTAGGTATAGAGTGGACCGTACCATCACAGCTGGGCAGAGGGCGACTCCATTGGAAGTTAGGTTCACACTCAAGAGGCTCATGGTCACTGAGCGTGTATCCTGCTCCGCAACTGAACGTCACCAGCGCCCCCACATAGAAATCATTGCCGTGCCGCTGACCGTTGACTGGGATTCCAGGATCAACGCAATGGTCCGACTGGAGCTGCAAGGCTTGAAGAGAAAATAAACAAACATTAACATGGAAAACAATCTATGATTATTCACTCAGGTGGCTTTTCAGGGCAGAAGTTTATTCAAAATGTATTAGAAACTTGGTATCAGGGCAATTTCTGAAATACTACTAATGTACAAATTAAAGTGTTACCAGTTGACTTGGTTGGTGCTTATGGACCAAAAAACTAAAAAGAAAAAAAAAAAATAATAATAAATTAAGTAAGTTAAGTTGTTATTATTATTATTATTCTATGATCTGTAAAACATAACATTTTAACTACTATGAATTTAATGTTTTTTTGTTTTTGTTTTTTGTGATAATATTAGTGATACGGTCCTCTATTATTATTCTAACAGTTACGGTTA